ACGACCAGGCCCCGGCCTCCTAGCCCCTTCCACCTTCCGTGGGCCGCGGCTGCGTGCCCCGCACTGGGCCCGAGGACACAGCAATTCCCTTCCTCACCCTCTTCCCCAACCCTCCAACCCTCCCAGGGCGGCCGGACGGGAGGGGGCTTGTTGGGGGCGGATTCCCAAAGCCCCGGCAAGGGGCGTCGGGGTGCAGCTTTCGGCCCAGAGGTGCGAGAATTATGATCAACGTCATTAAAACTGCCGCGAGACCAGGCACTGCGTGGGTCTGGGGTTAGGAAGGGAGATCGGGGTGTCGTTGCTGCGAGAAGGGGCGGGTTACTCCCGGCTTGGGGGAAAACCCTGGGGGGAGGACGCTGCCAGGCGCCCCCGACAGATTTCCCCCATAAGAGTTAAGAGGAGAGAAGGGCTGTTCATTTACTAAGCGCCTACTGTGTGCTGGGATACTGGAGAGTCTATCTTAGTCGTCACAGAAACCATGAGGTGGGACCCCGCGGGGAACAGCTGGAGAAAGCCACCCAGCACAGTGGCAGTGAGCTGTCCAAAGACACCCAGTCCGTGAACAGTGGGGCCCCTGGTACTTGCCAGCTGCCTGGCCTCGGCAAGTGACCCCGCTTCTCTGGACCACAGTTCCTCAACTGTCAACTGAGGCTAATAACAGAACCTACCTGGAAGAGTTGTGAAGATAAAAGGGTTCAGAAGTCAAGGGGTTAGGACAGTGCCTGGCACATAGTAGGTGTTCAATAAATGTTAGCCTTTGATACTATTACTATCGTTGTCGTTATTAGAAGCCCAGCATGTCTGCCTCCCAGGTCTGAGCTCACTCCCTCACCCCAGTAGCCCTCCCCCTTTTCCCAACATCTCCAAGGGAGGAGGAACAGGTCCCAAATGCCTGTCGTGCTCCTGCCCTGACTGGGGAATAGGGATGGTCCAGGGACTGCAGAGACTTCCGGAGCCGCAGGCAACACTGGGATAGGGCACCTGCCAGGGGTGCCGAGAGAGGACAAGCTGGGTGGCTCTAGGACTTGGATGAGGTGGGAGGGTTGGTGGAAGGTGAAGGGATCAGAAGCCACTGAGTACAATGGGGACCTCATCTGTCTGGTCCTGGAACCCATCCGTCTCCTCATTCATGGACCCCCAAGTTAAGAACCAAAGGGGCTAAGTCATCTCTAAGCCTACAGCTCTAAAACCATTTGATTATAAGATACAGGCTGTTTGTCTTTCCACCCTACTCCCAAGTGATTCATTCATTCCACATTGATCTGCTGTTAATGCCACCTCCTGGTACCTGGGCATCCTTCATCGCGGTCCTCAACTCCTGAAGCCTCGGTTTCCTCACCTATAAAGCAGGGCTGATGACAGCACCTCCCTTAAGGGATTGTTAAGAGGCTTAAAAGAGATCATAAATGTTAAGCTCTAATCTCAGTGCCTTCTTGACACATTATTGAATGTGATCAATAAGTAATCATTAGCTTTATTTTTTCACCCTTGCAGCGAGCATTCATTCATTCCCTCCACTGTGGCAGATCCAGAGATGGCCATTATGTCCTGAGTGCCTTATCTGTAGTATTTCATCTAAGTTAGATACTGTCAGCCCCGGTTCACAGGTGAGGAAACTGAGGCTCAGAGAGTAGTGACTCACCCAAGTTACACAGATTTGTCATTCCTGCCTTCCAGTAACTCAAGGAGGCAGTGGGCAGAAGTAGCCAATAATAATGCATTTGGTAAGAGTTGTAGCAGAATTAACAGAACAAGGTCCTGGAAACACTGAAAAAAACGGTTAAATGATTCCTGGAGTGCTTCCCAGAGGAGGTGACTCCGACTGGATCTTAAAGAATGAGTATGAGATGTGTGAGTTGGCCCAGCAAGCAAAAGCATGCAAGGCAGAAAGAAGAGTATCTGCATAGGTGGGAGGGGCGGGAGGAGGGGCGAGAGGCAAGAAGCATGTGATGGCTTTAGGAATGGTGTCGGTCCCAGGGGCTGGATCACTGCGTGGAGTGGTGAGATGTGAGACAGGGAAGGCTGGTTGGAGGGAGGTTAGGGAAAGAACTTGAAGGCCAGGCCAAGAAAAACTTGATGCTTTGCTCAAGTTGAACCTGTCTCCTAAAGTCCACAGAGGGTGGCTAATGGCAGGGATATGGGGTTTGTGTGGTAGGCCCAAGTCCGGATATTGGGACCCTCCTGGTTCCTGTAGCGTGTGCTATAAATGGGTACCGTGAGTTAAGGACCAATGGGAGATGTGCAATCTCTCCCACCCATGTGTGCCCAATTCTCACATATGAATCCCAACACCAATTTGCAGGTTGGTTATGACATCTCCATTTTAGAGGGGGGATCGGGACCCAGAGGAGTGAAGTGACAGGGACCCATGGAACAGGCCTGGGACAACACAGGACTCCTGCTTCTAGACTGTTCCCTCCACACCTGCCGGTTCCTTGACAGATTCTGACTCTGCCAAGAAGCAGGTTACAGGCAGGTTAGGTGTCCGGGACATATAAACATGGAGTCACAGCACATGCTGTCCAAGTCCCACACACGGAGAATGGCTTTCCCAAGGCCACTCGGAGTTAAAGATCTTGCCAGAAATAAAGAACAGTATTCATCCGGATTCATCCTCTGAGCCTCTGGCTCTGCCGTTTACCAGCTGTGTGACTTCGGACAAGTGACTGTGGACCCTCTCTGTCTTCACTTCCTTGTGCATGAAGTGCACACGCTCAGAACACCTCCGCGGGCTGTAGTGAGGATACAGTGCGGTAAAACCACTGACACTTACTGGGCATTTCCCACGTGCCAGGCACTGCTCTAAGCACTTCGCATGAATTACTCATTTACTCCCCCCAACGACCCAGTGAAGTGGCCCTCGTTTTAGAGGTGAGAAAACTGAGGCCCCAGCCAGTTTTGCTCAGTGGCTAGAGCGTCGGCCCTCAGACTGAAGGATCTCAAGTTTAATTCCAGTCAAGGGCATGTACCTCAGTTGCAGGCTCAATCCCCACCCCGGTCGGTCCGTGTGGGAGGCAACCAATCAATGTGTTTCTCTCACATTGATGTTTCTCTCTGTGTGTCTCTCCTCCTCCCTTCCACTCTTTCTAAAATTCAATGGGGAAAAAATACCCTCCTCGCCTCGCCACCACACCCACAGCCTGTGGGGGTCCTCAGGGCTCTCCGTGGTTTCTGCCAATTCCAGGGTGGGGTGTGGAGGGAAAGGCAATGTTCTCAGTCCCCTTTGTTCCAGCTCCTGCCCTCGCCATGTCCATTGGGTCCTCGCCAACCCGGCGGTGCAGTCCACTGAGTCCAGCCCCTTCGCTGAGTTCTATAAGGTGCCCGCTGATGCCAAGCACTGTGTGAGCTTTGTACACTTTTCTGATAGTTTGGGGTCACAGAGAAGGGTCTTGTGGAGGACACAGCCTTTGGCCACCTGTCTGGTTGGTTCGCGTCAAATTCCCCAAACTCCAAGTCCCCTCCCTGTGCTCTGCAGAGAGCCCGGCCACTCCTGCTCCAGGCTCTACCTGGGCACCCCAACTCCATCAAGGAGCTCAGAGAACACAATGTCTGCCCTCCTTACAAGGCACCTGGGACGACAAAAAGAAACCATTTCCCTCACTGTCATATGGGATAAAAGAGTATTCAGGTCATGAGCCAGAATTAATGTATCATTGGCCGAAAGTTTAGAACCAGCGGTATGAATGACAATGACATCGTGGTAATGCTGCTGGTGATGGGGACAGCACACCTACAGAGGGCTTGCTGTGTGCGGGGTGCAGTTCTAAGCACTGTACGTCACTCTTACTCATTCAGCCAAAACCATGGAAAGTAGACTTGATGTTTACTGTGTGTAGCGCTTTACATAAGTTGCCTTGTTTCATTTTCAGCAGGAAAATCACTTACCCTATTTTGTAGATGAGGGACCCAGTACTCACCGATGAGGAGGACTTGCTCAAAGACATAAGAAAGCTTGTAAGGGTCACACCCCACATGAGTCTGCACAGGACCAAGATGACTATATATTGATTGATTTGAGAGAGAGAGGCAGAGCGAGAAGGAGAAAGAGACACTTCGATGTGAGAGAAACATCTATCCGTTGCCCCAACCAAACCCACAACCCAGGTATGTGCCCTGACTGGGAATCACATTGGCAACCTCTCAGTGCACTGAACAACGTTCGACCAACTGAGCCACTCTGGCCGGGCGACTGTTTCTGAGCGGAGTTTCTGGGCAAGTGTGGGGAGGCAAGAGAAGCAGTTGGTGAGAAGGGGAGGCACTCCAGACAGATGGCAGAGCTGCAGAGCAAGGTGGAGGTGGGGCCCAGGCCTCTGTCCAAGCCGGGGTCTGCGTGTCTGCTGTGTCCCCATATGCACGCGCCTGCACATGGCTGTGGGCACCCACCGGGGAGTGGGAAGTCAGTGCGGAGCACACAGGTCAACAACTAACCCCCCACGTCCTGCTTCAGGCAGCTGAGAGAGCCGGCTGCTGTCACCGGGGGCGGCCACGCTCCGGCATCCGTCAACCAGCCATCACCGCTGCCCACCCCCGGGTCACGAATCAGCAGCGCCACTTACCTCCTGCCAGCAAGCACTCAGGCCAGCTCCATCACTGGTCGCTGAGCCTTTGGAAAATGTAACCCTGTCAGCCCTCACTGTGAGACAAGAGGGCTCACGCTTCAGTGCACGCACAGCGGTGCACAGCACGCCCACATACTCATGATGCATGCACATGTGTCC